AATTCAAGGATATAGTTCGTGAACAGTTTGTAAAACGTGCTGTTATATTAATGGATATCCTTTGTGGATATTATGTAGAGGTATATATCAGAGCTGGTTTCATTTTAGTTGCAGTGACTCATTATATGACTTTTATTTGTGGATTAGGGTATGTACAGAAGCTCAAGATTTTTGATTTAGATAGAAAAATGAGAGACTTACAATGGATTGTGTCCTTGCTGAAGGGACTCGTTATGCAACTTTAGCAGCTAAATTTGACTGCATATCGGTCATAGTTCGAAAGCGAGATAGTTCTAGAATAGTTTCCCAAAAAATCGAAGACTCTCAACGAAGAGCCACACAACTTTTTGAACTAGGATCACATCTATTTCAAATCAATTAAATTTTCAAGAGGAAAAGATGGTTAAGATGAAGTAGAATCCGTCGCAGCCCATCATTCAAGAATTTTTAGAACAAAATCCAAGAATTTCAGGGTTTGTGTAAACAAAACCCCATGTTTATACTTTTGTTTTTAGATTCGATGATGGCAGTGTTCGCACTGCATACAGATATAGCTTAGCGCCTCAGAATTTTTCGGGCTTTCCTCTTTGAACGTAATACTTTAGTTATGTATTGATTATTGACATATTCGCATGTTTTGCGAGGCTTTAAAGCATTTTGCTATGTTTTCTTTTCTTCTTATAAACATATTTCAGGATATGCTATTCAAATTAGTCTTATAAGTTGTGTGATTAAATTTGTATCACATTTTGTTGTTATCCTCGTGTAGACCTATCTCTGTGTCATCATATCCCGCAGATCCCTATTATGTTGTCATATGTACCCTTTATGTTCTAGCTCTATTTTATATGAGTCTGATATTTTTGTAACCACATTATCATGAACCCTTAAACTAATATAAAGTAGTGCATAAATACTGGAAAACACACGGGTGTATCCTGCAAAGATGTCTTATACTTGAACACAAGTAAAAAAATGTATATATCATTTTGAAATCTCAAAGAAACTTTACTTCAATAGATTTCAGATGCTGCTCTGTATAGTAGAATAGCAGTTTCGAAAAGCCAAAGGGACCATTTGCATATGTCTCTTATTTTTAACCATTATCATCATGATAGGATAACCTTATTGTTTGGAACTCAATCTTTCATCCCCAGTGGAAAAAATGGTAAAAAAGATGTAATTGCATAGCGCTAAAACCAGTCGAAAGTTCTTTCAATGAGCAAATGGCACGTCATGCACAGTGGTAATACACTCTTCATAACTCATCCACTTAGTTATCGACGGCATCCGGTGCAAAGAATGAAAGATGAACATCAAATTCTAAGTTAATACAAACTATAAATTCTCTTTTTTAACTTTCTTCCTAGTAATCTTTGACTACGAAAAGCTATTCAAATAGAACTCAAGAAAACAGAAAATTTATTTCGAAATTGCGTGACAAAAGTCTGACAAAAATCCTTAACTAAAACCTGAACATGCTTGTTACGGATCCTCGATAATAAATGAAAATAGTGAAATACAGTTAACAATTGTATTGTTGGATTAGAATGCAGTTATATTGGAGAAAGAAATATATATGTATATATATCGAGAGAGTGAGATAGTTAATAAATAATTTAATTCATTCAATAATTCTTCAGTATAACTTACCATCGCATGGCAACATAGAGGTGGACGATATATGTAAAGTAGTTGGTCTCCTTATACATGGTAACGCGAAGTTCGTTAAAACAGTTGATAAATATAAACTGTCGCTATTAAGACTCGCATGATCTCAAAGAAGAAATGATCAAAAAAACCAGACCCCCTCAGTCCTACGATATTAACAAGCCCGTTCTAGAGTAGTGGAACTGGACCATGCTACATTAGTGCCACTGACCCGCTGCACAAGAGTAAAATTGACCTGTCGTGTGAGACTAACTGGCCCGTGATGCAAGAGTAACAAGCCCGTTATACAATAGTGTAACTGGCCCGTCCTACGACAGTATAACTGGCCTGTCTTACGATTGTGCAAAGGGCCCATCTTGGAAAAGTAACTGACGCCGCCTGTGAGCATAACTAGCCCGTCCTGCGAGAGTAATTTTCCTTTCCTACAATAGTGTAACTAGCCCGTCCTGTGACAGTAACTGGCGCGTCTTTCAATAATATAACTGGCTCGCCCTACAATAGTATAACTGGCCGTCCTACAATAGTGTAAGTGGCCCATACTGCAATTGCACAACTGGCCCGCCCAGCGAGAGTTACTGGCCACCCTACAGTAGTGTAAATGGCCCATCTTGCGACAGTATCGGGTCCATCGTATACTAGTATAACTGACTCGTCCTGTGGGACTAACTGGCCCGTCCTACAATAGTCTAACTGGCCCATTCTACATTGTGTAACCGGCCCGTCCTACAATTGTATAACTGACCGGTCCTGCGAGTGTTACTGGCTCGTCATGCCAGAGTAATTAGCCCGTCCTACAATAGTGTAAGTGGCCCACCCTACAGTAGTGTATGTGATGCATTCTGCGAGAGTAACTGGCCCGTCCTACAACTGTGTAATTGGCGCGTCCTGTGACCGTAACTGGTCCGTCCTACAATTGTGTAACTTGCGCGGTCTGTGAGTCTAGCTCTCCCGTCCTATAGTAGTATAAATGGCCCAATATGCAAGAGTAACTGGGTCGTCCTACAATTGTGTAGGTGACCTGTCCACCACTAGTGTAACTGGTCCATCCAATAATAGTGTAAGTGACCCATGACATATTGATGTGACTGGTCTGTCCTACGAGAATGACTGGCCCATCCTACAATACTGTAACTGACTCGCCATATAATAGTGTAACGGACCTTTGCCTGCAAGAGTTTAAGTGGCCCGTCGAATATTAGAGTGATTTGCCCGTCCTACAATAGTTTTACTGGTCCATTCTACAATAGTATAATCTGGCCCATGCCTTTATAATACGTGGCCGTTCCTACTAGAGACACTAGCGCGTCCTACATGTGTGCCTGGCATATCCTTCTATATGGCGTAGTGTGTCCTACGATAGATATTGTTCTGCCCTTCTATAAGACGTGACCTGTCCTACTAAAGGCACAGGCCCGTTCTATTTGAGTGACTGGTCAGTCCTTCAGCATCAGGGACATCCATTCTATTGTGGGAGGTGGTTTGTCATGCTTAAGACACTGGCCCGTCCTACTGAAGAAATTGATCCTTCCTATTGTAGAAACTGAACGTTCATAATATACAAATGGCATATGTTCTGCTATAAATGGTGAGCCATTCGGTTATAGAAAATCGCCCATCTTCGTTCAGGAATGGCGTGTATGCTTTAATAAAACAGGAGCCATTCGAATACTAAAATGGCTTATGTCCTGATTTAAAACACAGGTCGTTTAGCTTTGGATACGACCCGTCCTACTACAGAAACAATATCCACTGTACTATAAAAGTTGGTCTATTCTTGTAGAGAAATCTCATCCATCCTACCATACAATGCGATCTGGGTTTACACATATAGGTGTGTATATAAGATTTGCAGAAAGATCAGCATATGCTACAAGTAGGTACCTTCTTTTGAGCGTTCATTGTCGGAGAATCGCATGCTATGTTATTATTGCACCGCGTATTGTCTTGCTTGTGTGAATGAAATTGTTTTAGCAATCGATCCCATCGTATATATGATATTTCATTGAAACTTTGTTATTGCTATTCATGTTTTGGGCGAAACGATATATCGATTTGTAGTAGGATGCCTTGATTTGCGTTTCTTCTTTTGTTTCAAATTTGCCTCGGTATGTGAAGTCAGAAGATTAATTGTAGCAGTGTTTGTGTTTGGTCTGGTTTGTTTATTTGTACCTAATCATTTTCTGGTTAACCTTTTTAGATATAGGTGCATTACATTATAATCTACAATAGAAGGAAATTAGTTTTTTTTATTTCGACCATGAGGTTTACAAAAGAAAGGAATATGAAATGAGAATGTTTATTTCATTTTCATTTTTGTTGGTATGAATGTCTTGATAGGGCATCTAGATCCATTCATATTTTGTAAAATGGATGTATTGCTCATTCATCGTTATCATTTTTCTATATAGTTGGGTTCTCTGTCATAGTCATTTGTTGCATAATATTCGAAGGTTTACGCTTGAGCATTCGTTGTGTTGGTTTCTTGTGTACAAACATGTCTTCTAATGTGCGATTGGTTTTGACGGCAAATTTTAGTTGAACATGTTCTACATTAGATCCTTCATAAGCAAAATACTGTTTCCACCATTGGCGAAAGTCGTGCTGAATAGCTAACCTGGGCCCACTTTTATAGTAGTATTTTGCATATAAAACATTTGGATCCCAAGTGTTCTTCTTCTGTAGTACGTCGGGTAAAGCATTGACGTCTTCTATTGTGTCTTCGTTTTGTTTTTCTCTTCGTGTTGGCATATGAAATCATCGTTGGGGCAATTCGTGGTATACTTGAGCATCCAGACTTTCCAAAATGGATATTGATTGGTTGAGTTCAAAGAATCGATCAAAATGTTTTGATATAAATGAAGGGGGATATTCGTTTAGTAACAATGATAAATCGGTACGAATTCGTTGCATTTCAAACTCTTCGACATACGTGCATATGCGTGCAGCTCTCAGTAGTGCAGCGTGTGGTATATTTCGAAAAACATGTTTAGGATGATCTGATGTATATGGCAGTATATAAGGTTCGGCGGCTGATTTATGAAAGATATGTTTTCAAGTGACCATTGTCATTATTGACGGTGACATCGAGAAAATCAATAGTAGATTGAATGCAATATGAAATACGAATATTAGGATCCTTTCGATGAGCATTATCCAATCTTGTTTTCATTTCCTCGTATGTCGAATTGGTGGCCATAAAAACATCATCAATATATCTAAAGAAATCAATGGACAATATAGTTACTAGGATGTACAATGAATTGCACATATTTAACGAACCTTCCATAAATTTCTTGATGTTCTTGTTGATCTTTAATGAATTGTTGTTCTCAATTTAACATATAAATATTGGCTAGTGTTCGTGTGAAGGCTGAACCCATCGCTCCACCGCGTATTTGTCGATAATATTTATGTTCATAAGCAAAGCTATTTGTATCCAATACAAGACGTGCCATTCTCTTAATATCATCAATGCGTATGGAACCAATTTTGTTATGATGTAAATGTTGCTCGAGAAATTGTAATAAGATTTCTAAAGCACCTTGACGAGGTATCATTGTATAAAGATTTTCCACATCAAACGTAATAAATAAAGTGGTTGGTTTTAAATGATCATTGGTGACATATTTTTCTAATGCTTGAACAAGATCGATGCCATTAATAAAAGTCGTTTGCCGAGCAGCTCGTAGAAAAAGAGGTGCTAATAGATCATTAAGAAATTTTGAAATTTCAGTTGCCGGTGCATGAATAGCAGCTACAATGGGCCTTAAGAGTGTATTGGGCTATGAAATTCAGATATGAATATATATGAATTAAAAAAAGAAGTAAATCGGACTTACATATTTCAAATAGTAGTGATCAAAAACTCACTTACTTTATGTGGTTTGGGAATAAAATGAAGATGAGCCAATTCTAATGAATCTACTCTTGGAGTCATTCTCTTGTATTGTTCTTGAGTAAGGGCACCTTTTTTCAAAAGAGATTTTAAAAGAACACTCACTAAATGGAGATTTTCAGATAAGACACATCCTTCATTCATAATCTCTTGATATGCTTCTGTTTCGATCATATATTTTGAAGCTTTCCTAGCAAACATAGTCACATTCCCAATATAAAACACTTTGCTTTTGTCCGTTCGACGTACAGTAATATCAGGTCGATGACGTAACATTTTTATTATATTTCGCACTATTTTTCGTTCATGTTGTGCACGTTTGTATAGTTTATGTGGTAATTTTTTGGTTTGAAGCTCATACAGCATACATTTTAAATATGGAAAACCCTCTTTCTGACGCGCTTCTATCAGCTGTACACGATAATCATCAAGACAACCTTGAACAACTGAACGTAATGTCTTATATTGCTCATTGACTATATTGTCGATAGATTGCTTTGAAAATCGACTTTGACATCGTGGAATATATTTCAAACCTTTGATAAACCAAGACATTTGCATCGATGAGAAGCTAGCACAACACGACGAATTACCACGACGAGAGAA